AAATGCCCTAACATAATTTTTAAGAGCCCAGCTACTTGACGTTTTGTGCATGCAAAAGGCTTAAATGCATGTTCATATTAAAATGACACTGGTCACTAGTTTTAAGCTTAGTGCTTTCATGCTGACTATGTCCATACTCTACAATTGTGAAACACAAACATGAACATTCTAACAATGCTTGCTATTAATCGAATTATTTGTGTCTTTATGGCTTATATTTATCTTTTTCAAACTCAAAATTTATATTGCAAAAAATGAAATTCATCTTATGATGGTTGGGGATAACAGACAATAAAGGAACCTATTAGTTTTTTTTTCTCGGAGGGTAAAGTAATTTCTCTCTCTATTTTGTCAGAACAGGCTTGTTTCATTTGCAAAAAGACTCCATCTCGGCGGTGTGTTAGGTGCACCAATGCATGGCATGACAAATGTTCACCTTGGCCAGGTCATATGCTTCAGTATGGAGATCACTCTGGAAACCGGCAGGCAGTTTGTTGGGGACATACTATTGATTGGCAACATGATAAAAAGGTCGATTTCCTCTTTCCTTCATCACAACAAATGCGATGATCATTTTCCCTCAGGAAATCCACTAGTCATGCTTAGTAGGAACACGGAAGTGATAAACACAAGAAATAGATATAACTAACTTGGATGCATATCTTATGTAATGACAGTCATATTATCCAATATCCAGTTGCACTTGCTTCTAAATATAGCACACCCATCAAATATGCCAACATTATTATGCTATTCATGAGATAGGTCTACTAAAATATGAAGAAGGTTTTTGAGTTCTCTTGTCCTGTATTTTCCCTTTTAGCAGGAAGGAACTTGCCTATTATTGTATTTCAATTGCTTTAGAGTAATTTTCTCTATGATTTATCTTTTCCTTGTGAAAATTAGTCATACCTTTATAAGGGTATAACATTTCGTAAGAAAAATGTGTCAGTATAAGAGAAAAGTTAACTATAAACTATTGCTAATACTGAATTCATATTTGAAAAGTAATTTAGTAAACCCATATCTTGGTCTGCGATTTAAGTATGAAAAACTGAGACACTTAGTGTTATAATAAGTTTTTTTGTGAAATAGTTGTTCATTTCCTTGAAAATTTTG